GCTCCCTTATTCACAAGGGGTCACTTGAGCAGGTAGCTTTGCATATTTGTTTTGGCAGAGTTTTATGCCAAAAACCCTTCCTAATATAAACCCACAAGCAAACTGTCTCTTGCCAGCGCAATAGCGCAAACTCTGCAGTATTGCACTATGGAGCCACAGGACAATTTTTTGTATGCCAGTTTAAAAAAGAAGAAGAAGAAAAATGTAGGGATGGGAATTAAGAACCAGTAATAGGTTCCCAATAATTCAATTCCTTGGAATTGTTGGTCTGCTTGCCTATCGATCCTGCTTATCTGTGTGCCAGAGGAGGAAAATAGCAGTTCAGTCTACAGCATGTACTTATTTTTATTGCACAAAAGGATGAGAGTGCAAACTACATCCAGCACAGAAACAACTGCATTATGTTGCTAATACAACTTTGGCCCTTTGCAAGCATGCTAACACTAAGCTAGCCAAGGACCCAGAGTGATGTTAAAGCTGAGTAAATACCAACCCCTGAACTCAACCCCTGAACTTCAACAGGTAAAAAACAGATGAGCAGTCAGGCTGCAGCCTCCGTTTCTACTTCTATTTTTATGGAGAAACACAAAAGTAATGTAATGTTTCTACAGTAGAATCATAATCACTGTGAAGTCTCCTTGTGCTAGTTTTCATCTTTGCCTTGTGTTCATAACTGAATACTAAGAGAAAGACTGTATGTGTGTCTGCATTAGGATAGGGATTTTTGTTGAGGAACAGGAATTTGCCAGTAGGTTTATATTGTTAACTGGTAACTATCAGGTCATTTTACAGTAGTGAAATGTTAAAGTAATGAAAGTTATGAGCAAAGAATCTTATAACAAATTACTTCCTCTTGGGAGTAGTGAAGTACTACATTACAAAGTACTGCATTTCTTTTAAGAAAAGTGTTTTGTGTAATATGTTTTTTGAGTAACAACCTCAATACTGATCAACAAAGAGGGGAAATACCTCCAGCATGCACACACATTTGACCACACACATGCAATTAATCTGCATGAATTTAATGTTTTTGGATATGCTGCTTAATGATGGTGGTGAGTCTCAAAGGAGCCAGTGAGAACCGAATGAGAAGACAACATGAACCTCTAATGGAATTGGAACCACTAAATTGATCAATTTCCATCCCTAGGAAAATGCAGATTTATATCAAATAAGGTCACAGGAACATAAAACGTACTTCACACTCATTTCTCAGTGAAGTGTAAGCACGCTCAGGTTATAATACTTACTGTTCTTCTCCAGTGCTTTGATTGCCTGGCTGTAGAGATTTGTGGCCTCGCCATATTGGCCTGTCTTGAAACATTCATTGCCAGCTTGTTTCAGCTCAGCCCAGGACTTGGACTTCTGTTTTGGTGGCATGTCTTCTTGCTGGCTCCTACCTAAAATGATACAGTAATGGTTGCTTTATATATATATATGTTTGGATTAAAACATCAGACAATTCAAATGTAACTGAAATGACTCATCAATAAAATACTGGATTTCTATTCATTCAAAGGAATAATGTGGACCTCCCCACCTCTGTGCGGTGGCTGAATGAGGCTCGTGTTTCTACAACAATTTTGTAAAGAAAGAAATTGATATATTAGTTGTTACACACAGCTTTGTTTATGTGTCAGTCAAGAGAATCTTGCATCTATATTTTTTGTCAAAGATGCTTCTTCATGTGAGAAAAACTGTGGCAGTGTATGTGTAGCTCTGCACACAGAAGAAGACAGGTCCGATGTTAGCAATGACTTGTTAAACTATTAGGATCTACCACTACTAACGTTTCTCAATGATACCCAGACAAGAGTCATAGCACAACACCCTATAGGGTTTAACTTAATAATAAATTCTCATCACTACAGGTTAAGACAAAACAGCCATATACCATCATTGTTTAAAGATCAGCTTGAAGTTTGTTTTTTTAATTTTAATTTTGTTACTGTAATCATCAGTGTTGGCCTGAAACGGACAATTAATCTGAAAAATGTGTGAAATTATTTTGATAATTAGTTCATCATTTTTTAAGTAAAACTAGAGGGGAAAAAAGACTTTTTTAGAGATTTTAGTTTCTCAAAGAGGATTTTCTCCATTCAAAACTAGACAATTGTCTTCGGCTTTTGTTTTGTGCTGTAGAGAAACTGAAACAAAATGTCACAACAAGCCATATACTGAAAGTAATCACTACTTATAAAGTATATATTTTATCATCACTTCAATATAAAAATTGTACCATAAGCACGAGACTGCCTGATTAACACTAAATCAGAAGAGTAATTTTAATTACCAAAACTATATAGTCACATTCAGATGCAGGCAATTTTAGATTAACTAACAAGAATATGTATCAAATAGCTTTGCTTAGTGCACAGAGGCTTATTTTTGTTTGAGGCCACTGGCAGGGCTGTAAATTAAAGAATTTTCCAAATCTGGAATCAATAAAACATATCTTGTCTAATCTTAAACAAAATTTCAATTAGTTACACTGTACAACAATTAAACAATTAATTAAGTTGAAGTCATTTTTTTCTTGCAGTGGTGCTTTATGTTCTCTTCCACATGCCTTTACTTTTTAACCAATTCATTAATTAACACTGTGTCCACAAAAATGTATAGAGTGAAATCCTGCACCCAGGTCTGACATATAACATATGACATATAACCTGATTATCACATTTACTGTAACAGAGACAGTGTCAGAGAATCATAAACCAATAAAAATACTTTCACTTTCAGCTTCTGTAGCCTTACTACAACAACAACAACAACAACAATAATAATAATACTGAGATTTGATGGCAGCTAATACTTTCCACTCACATATACCACAGGCTTAACTTAAATCAGTTAAACCTCAGGTTAAAAACCCCACACCAAATTAACAAACCTGCTCATCTAACTGTGTGCTAATCTGGTACCTAGCCGCTAACAGTTACACAGTCATATTCTGTTCATGACATTTTCTCCAAACGATTACTTAAATCCTACTGTCAAAAAGAGCCACAACTGAACCTTGTTTCCTCGAGATTTTGCTTAAAAGTCGTCTTCCTCCCACTCTTTCTATGCGTTAACTCGCTAGCTAAGTAATGCTAACTCGTGTGGGTTTTGAATGGTGTTTTATGGCAGCTAACATAGCGTAGCATAGCTTTGCTACTATTAGCATGTCTTACCGGCTGCTCAGTCTGAGAGATCACAACGAGGAAGTTCCCCTCTTCACAAACTATCTGTTGCCCTTATGAACGTTGCTAATAATGGCATTACTCAGTGCATGTATGTTGTCCCGGTGGCTGAGACCCACACTCTGCCTGGGTAGAGAGTTTAGTACAGGGGGAGGTATATGGAACTTGCCGGCAGTCTCTAGTAACTTCTCAGTTTGCGATATCGGTTTCGCTTCGTTTTAACGCTGTGTTCAAGTACTGTGGTCAGTGTAGGACTTTCACCTGCATGGCGCGCCCTCTGGTGACCATCTGATCAAAGTGTGTTCAGAGACCAGAAACCACAAATGACTCACTGGTTGAGTTTTCAGCAGTAATCGCCACAATAATTTTAACTTTATAAGATAATACATGCAGATTTTTGCTTCAGCTTTTGATCGCGAAGCTATAATAAAGCGCAGCTCGTTTTACTTTCGTGGTGAAAAGTCCTTTGCACTATCCTTTCTGTATCTTGAACGCCTCATGAGATAGGGAGAAGCAGTTGTTCGGTTTCTATTTAGAGAGCAAATTGTGTTTCGACATAAATCTCGCGATGGTACATCGTGTCCTATTTAAATCTAAATGTATTTATTTATTTTTATTTTTGGAATCTAGTTTGACGAGTACAATTTAAATGTACAAACATGAGTTTCTATTAGAGTTAGAAACCTTGTAAACGGAGTTGAGAAAACATATGCAAAAGAAGTAATTATAGTCTGAAACTCAGGCAAAATGTAAAAAAGAATTTTAAAAAATTGCTCAGTTTTGAATGTTTACAGTGTGCCTTTGATGTTTGGGCCGGTTGGGGTCTCTGTATGCATGTTTTCTATTTGCTCAGGATCTTGATCTTAATTCTAGCCAATATAGAAACCATCTAATAGATCACATTAGTCTCAAGACAGCCTCTGCCACCACATTAGATCAATCCCTCTGGGCTCCTTTGATCGGCTCCATCACCTAGCGGGGGTGGGGGATCGTGGTTTGGTCCCGCTATCGCCATAGGGCTCTGGCTGGGCCTTGGGTATAGAGTTTGTTTGGGGAGTGTGATTGTGTGTACAGTGTCCATGTATGTCTATCCCTACGTTGGGTGAGTGCTGAGTATTTGTATATGTGTGCATGAGGATGGGAATGCATGCTTGTGTCTGTGTGTGCCTGTTTGTCTGTGTCTATATATGGTTGGGTCTTACACTCCACCATTCTGGGAACTCCCAGACCCTCCAAAGGCCTATCTCCCCTCACCACACTCCCTGCCGGTAACTGATGCCCTCAGGGGTCGGTGCGTTGGTGGTTCTTGGTGTCCGGGGCTGGGCGCTCAGGTAGGTACCAGCTCACTCCCAGTGACTACTTGGAACCAAATGGGACAGGCAAAGAAAAAAAAAGGATCTTGGTCTGTGAGGGCTGGGCTAGGCTCGAGGCAATATATTATATAATCATTCCCCAGGATGGTTTTTATTTTACACATGTAAACTCTATGATCAGTATGTGCCTCAGTCTTAAAATATTTTAGAGAATTCAGAGCAAAGCTAAAATATGCTGTACCAGAGCCAAAAATTTTCAGAAACTTTTACCATGAATTATCGATGACAATATCAAAGGATGGCAAAATTCTTTTTGGTCATTGTGTTTGCTCTTAAGGAAGCATTTAAAATCATTTGAAATTGTACCTCTTTGCTCCTTAATAATCAGTGAGTGACAGTTGTAGTGTGTAAGAACACTCAGGTCTCTCTTGAAAAATACAAATTATTAGTATGACCGAAAGGCCAGAAGCATTAATAAAAACAAAAATGTTAACCATTTTCCAATAAACATTTTATTTGTATAGTCATAAAAATGTACAAAATCTACAGTGCAAATAAAACACATGAGTATAGGCCAGTTTACTTCTCAACCACAGGGAGGCACTTTAACACCTTCTCATCAACAGGCCAGAGAAATTTATGCAAACACAAGAAAATCTTACTGTGTCGTACCATTCGTAAACACTATGAAGAGCTCCAGTTCATTTAGCAGATGCAAATCTGACAGGCAAGCGTTTGAAAATATTACTGTTCTGCTGTGATTGCCATGTGCTTGCTTCTAGCTTCCTTCAGGAGAAGGAATAAGCTTGCAGGAACACTAACCAATACATATTTTAAGAGTATTAATAAAGCTCAGAGTCTGATAAAACACACAGTGAGAATACAGGTGTCTGTTTTTCAGTTTGCTGTTTGTACAACAGGTTTAGCTACATTCTTAATAACATGTAAACATTCATTTTCACATGAGCATCAGCTGAGAGTTTGTACCTAAAGTGGCCGTAACAGCTTAAAATATGTAGTAGTGTCAGCTTTTGTGTCAGAATACATGGTGACAGTGAATGCGGCATTTATATGAAACATCAATGCAGCACTTTCTGTCCAGAAGCACAAACTTGTTTTTTCTTCTGAAAATCAGTGAATGAAAGAAGGGAAAAATACAAAGAAAACTATTATCTCTTATCCCACAAAGGTTGCTTTTTAAAGCAACCTCAAAAATTTATACATATATATATATATATACAGAGTTGTGTAAAAATGAATGAATGAATTATAAGCCTGAATTAAACTGGTAGGTTTTATGGTAGAACATCGAAAGTGCAGGTGCACTTGAGGTCTCTGAAGGAGGAGCAGTCAAAGTCAGCCATGAGAGTTTTCTTTCCGGTCTTCTTGGGAAAAAAGGGCAACTGGATACGTATCCTGTTGCTTGGCCTCAGATTTGGAAGTCTGTGGGAAACATAAGAGTAATACAGAACTGTTAATGTTAATGTTTAGTTTGTGGATTTGACATATCATTTCATACACAGTAACAACCCGCTAGAAGCCTGTTAACTTTTCCAGACATCCAAACAATGTTGAGATATGGTAAAATCTGAAAACTTCAGACTGCGGAAAAGACTTTTACAAAGAGAATACCCTCTTATCATTATTCCTTCAAGGGATTTTGCTGGGGTTACGTTCTTTAGGAAGTCCTGAGGCCTGTACTATGAAGCAGGATTTGGGCTTATTCAGGTAACGTCAGAGCTAACACTTGTTTTTCAGTGTTACAAAGATGGTTTGCTTCTCACTGTTGTTTATAGTTATGTAACTTATGCTGCAGACCTAAACCGCTCCAGAGCAGGTTTTTATCAATATTAGAGAGACAAGCAACCCATTTGTACTTGTGAATTCAAATTTGATTTCTGTTTTTATATTTAATCTTCAGGTTACTCTCAGACCCTTAAACACTTCCAGAGGCTGTGGGAGAAAGAATAAAAATGAAATTCTAGATTCTCTGTCTTAATGACAGAGCATTGACCCATTCACTCACACAGTCAGTATTTTTACTGCCTTTCCTTCTTGGCTCAAAATAAATAATTAAGGTAGCAGATCTTTCACACATACATGCATTTTTCCTCCCCATCCACTAGACCACTTCCAGAGATAGTCAGAGTGCAGTCCGTCAGCATCTTGTTGATTGGGTTCATGAAAACTACTTCAGCAACTGTCCTTTGGTTCAGTCTCACTGGACCATTAACCTGAAAAACAAAAATCTCACTGTTTACTTATTAGTCAGTAAAACAATGTAAAAATCTTTGCATGTCCAGTTTTGATTCCAACCTGCTTGAAAATATAAACAACAAATTATACCTTCAGTTTATCCAGCCTCTTTTTTTTACCATTAGCAATGCATGAAAAATAAACATGATAGCCCACATCATATAAAATTACAGATACAGGAGTCACATTTCAATCCCAATAGCAAGCTTTTATGCATCTAACACGCTTGTGAACAAAAACAACAACAAAAAAACAAGAAGAAACATGTCAGTTGTAGCATTATTTGCTCAAAGTCCTCCTATGGCCAAGAACAGCCTGAAGTAGCTGCTGGCATAGTTGCAGACTTTAGTTTTATATATATATATATATATGTATATATATATATATATATATATATTAGAAATTATATTCTATATTCATTTAAAAACATATAATATAGTTAAGTATAATTGTAATAATTATGTCAAATATCATAAGTATTTATAGGAGTATGTATATATTAAGTATAATATATTATTTTATCAACAATCAACAGCAGTCAGCTAATGTGACAGTTACTTCGAACAAATCAACATAATGATTAATTAGACACAGAGATGGTAGTTTTTTACTCACTGTGATGGACATAGGAGGATTCAACAGAATGACATCATTCACTGCTAGGTATACATTTCTTGGCTCCAGCTTATCTGTGACTACAGCTGAAATCTTCATGCTGTCAGAGCCTACCATGTGTTTGTGGTACACCAAGAAGGGGACCAAGATAGGAATGGACAGATCTGGAGCAGACAGAGGGAGTGAGAGACAATTATAGTTGTTGCAGTCCCCTCCAGGACAAGTAAATAAAAACACTTGTGAGAAACTCCTCAGCAATTTACCCACCTTTCCCAGGCTGCAGTGTCTCTTCCTTTGTCTCAGTCTGGATGTTTTCAACCGGTGAGCCATTGTATCTCATGGCCTGGACGCTGATATTGATGGACACAGGCCTGGCAGTGCTCTCACTGTTCAGCACCAGCTTCAGACTCACGTCCTGACCGTCCATTGGCTTGGATACCTGCAGCACGACAAATTCAATTCAATTTTATTTATACAGCGCCAAATCACAACAACAGTTGCCTCAAGGCACCTTATATTGTAAAGTACACCCGACAATAATACATACAGAGAAAATCCCAACAATCATATGACCCCCTATGAGCAAGAACTTTGGTTACAGTGGGAATGAAAAACTCCCTTTTAACAGGAAGAAACCTCCGGCAGAACCAGGCTCAGGGAGGGGCGGTACCTTATTCCAAATGGCTGTTTGACATTTACTTAATGCAACTGCTTTCTTTTTAAAAAAAACACAAGAAAACTTTTAGACAAAACAGGCTTTTATTTTTATTTTTTTAAACGAAAGTCTAAATAAGTTGTGTTGCATTATTTAAGGTTATTGGATTTGGCATAACCATTAAGTACTGTTGGGATTTACGCAGGCGGCACAGTGAGGAGAAACTCAGATTTTTGACACTGACCCTGTTCGTATGTATTTCTGGGAGTTCTTTTTTTGTTAATAGAAAAAATGTTAACAGTGGAAAAAAGGTCACTACTACATTCGTAAAAAGTAGACAGAAAATTCACACAACAAAGATAAAGGTAAATACTAAAATATAATTAAGATCTACTTGAATAGCTCTAAAAATAAAAAGATATATAAGGAACTGAGATGTACCTCTTCAAATCGCATGGATATTTGTGGAAGTGGAAGGATGCTGTCATTTGTATTATTTGTAGTCTTATCCTCTGTGTTGTTCCCTCCCCTTCCTCCATTCCCAGTTTCATTTGTTGTCCCTCCATTCCCAGTTTCATTTGTTGTCCCTCCATTCCCAGTTTCATTTGTTGT